TGCTCTAACTACTCTTACCTACAGAAACCAAGAATTACCTTCCGTAAACCACTTTCTGGAGAAGTTGTTCGTATCGCTTACAGTCATCATGATACAATCCAAGATCAACATTGACCATATAAATCTGTGTATCATATTCGGTAAAATGAATATATGCTTTGAGGGTTAGTTTATGAAAAAGAGTTATATATAAACGACTAAAAAATGATTAAGAGGTTACCTTCATCAGCGGATGGTCAGAAGATGGCCCCAATGTTCTACTCGAACATACCACGGAAATGGAAAATGCGAAGAAAATAAACAACATTCGGGAAAACATTTTTTTTTCTGGAAAAGGCTTAGAGTTATATTGAGAGATTAGAGATTTTTGATTTTTGATAGAGTGAATATCTGCATAAATAGTAATGTGAACAATGAAAACGTTTGGCTCTAATTTACAAAATGGTGAAGTCTATAACCTCTTTTGAGCGTTTACAACCACATTTATTGAATATTTATTAGACTCTTATATCGGCCGTTGTTTTCCCACTTCTAACATTCCATTTACTGATGCATGAAAAATAAAAATAAAAAATAAGATGCAAGAGTCTAGACTAGAGTGTAAATATGTAATATTGTACAAAGATAAACCGATCCGATTTGATTCAAGAGCTAATAATCGTTCTGAAAATTTGCTAAATCCTAATATTTAGTTAAAGTGGATTGTTATATCTTATTACCGAAAAATATAAACCAATTACAAACCCCGAACCGTGCCGGCCGATTTAAAATAAATTATCCATACCATAATACAGGTTTAATTTGGTTACAATTATTTAAAAACCGAAAAACACAACTCAAACCATGCATACTTAACATCCTCTCTATATTAATTGAAGAGACACTAGAGAAAAAATCATAGGTGTCAATCAATGAGCAATTTAAGAGACATTTAATTTAACCAATCAAAACATTTCAATTAAAAATATGTGTCATGGTGGAAATTCTCTATATATTCTTATTAATTTTTAAACCCAACTAAATGTAATATTTAAGATTTACCATAATAAATTATTTATTGCGTATATATGTATTTAGATTAGCATACTATACATATTTTGTATACATATATAACTACACTTACAAATAATTATACATTTCATCATTGAAAAACATATACTGTTTTTTTTGTTTGTTATGTCCGACAAATTCATATAAATCTAAAATTTATATAATTTACCGCATAGTCTATAATTTACATGAATAATAAAAATCAATTTTACACATTTATATATATTGAGATAAATAACATTTGCATATATTTTGACCAATTTTGGACATAAAAATATCAAAACAATGACATCAAAATATGCTTGATCAAAATTTAATTTTGTACATATCATTTTTGTACTACGTTTATAAATATTAGAAATCATATGTTTTGTCATACACTTTAAATATTAAAATCGATTAGAAAATACATTTAATAATTTACTCTCACGCTTGGCATGGGTCAAAATCTAGTTAATCTTTATTTAAGAGATTTGAAAGTCTAGTTTTATTATATAACTCGATAGACTATATAATTATTTTAACAAAGAGTAGCAGCTTTCATTAGTTCTTTTAGAATTCACGACAAGCGTTGGTTCCCTTAGCAATAGAGTATATGACAATGGGACTCCTGACTTGGCGAGAACCGCCTATCTCCGTCCACGTGAGCCACGTATTCCCTAGCATAAAGGTCTCCTTCGAGTGCTTCGAGTTTGGTTCCGATAGACCGGTGACGGTCACCGTGAAAGTCTTGGTCTGTCCCAACTTGCTAAAATTTAGCCATCTAGGCTTCACAGTGATCTTAGCCTTAAAATTCTTCTTACCTCGGAACTTAATTTTTCCGAGGTAAGTGGACTTTGGGTTGCCAACGTTGGTGACCGTTCTATAGAAGACTTTAGAGAATTTGGTGTTGAGTTCCACTTCAGCCGACATGCTTGGATAGTTGAGGTCAGCGTTCTTGTCTATCTTGATCCCGGAGCAATTTATCTCGTTGCTTCCAACGTGTGATCTTAGCTTCTCGGTGTTGTAGCCTTGTTTACACATGTAATCAATGTAGTCTTGGTGTTGTGTCTCGTAAATTAAACCAGGGTCTAGGACTTTTGTAGCGTTTAACTGTCCTGAACCGTATGCAAAGCCATCGCCCATACCTACCATTTCCGTGGCTGCAAAGAGAAAAAAATATATAAGAAAAAATAATAAAGTTATCCGTTTTACTTGGAAAATTGCCGACATGATCATGATCAAGCTTTTTCATGTACTTAATTCTTAATTTTTCTTAACAAAAAGCTACTAAAGAGGAAAATTTTG